AATTGCATAAGTTTTTTTCACATACCATGTGGTAAAATTCTAGATCCCCCACTGCTAGGTAGTACCATATATCCTAATGCTGGTTGTATGATAACACTAAAGTCTTTTTATATGTAGATAGATATATATTTATAGATATATATGTATCTTTTATGTGAAATGAAATTATAATTTATGATAAAAGTAGTACAATTACTAATTACTAAAATGGAACTTGCATCGACTAGTATAATGTCCTTGTTAACGCTATGACAACAACATATAACCATGCAAATCAAATAACCAAAAGGCATATATGTCAAGTTATTAAGCATTACTGAGATATATTTATGATTCATGCAAATTTAATGAGATATATTTATGATTCACACAAAAAAGAAAAACTAAAAAGGAAGTCCATCTTTCCTGATCAAAATATGAATAATAACATTTTTTAACATTAGTGCAAGAGCACATGCTTTGGCAGCAAAATGTAGGTCTCCAAGCTCCCCTACATTCAGAAGCTGCCCACAGAGCTGCCAATCAACTGGTGCATGATCTTCTGAATGTCCAATGCATTCATCTGTTTAGCCACAACATACTTTAAGAGAGGTGGTGAATCGTTTCTTCTTCCCTGCAACATTTGAGAAGTCAAGTGACAAATCTTTGTGAAGATCAACACAGGCTTAAAGAAATATAATATCCTAAGAAGTTACCTACCATCTATCTACAAAAGTATAGGAGGACTTGAGTTGATCCAAGAGAATACAACATTAGCTGCTATTCGGTTCTAGAAGAAATTAAATGACAATTAAAGTAGACAGTGCAATATCCAACAAGAACCTTCCAACTATTGTAGAGAGCACCTTGCAAAATTCTTGTATCTTTTCTCTCATAATTAGTAATCCACAAATTGCCTGCAAGATCGCTTTCACGTTGTTCTTGAGAAACATTGGAAATTCTCGGTGGCCAATTAAAATATCACTGTCATTTAATTGGTTAACCAAAAAATGAGAGAAAGAGTATATTTTTTTATAACAAAACTGGATCATGAATTGCATATACTGCTTTATTAGGATTATGTACTACTGTTCTACAACAAAAACAAGTAATGATATTATTTTGCAGCAAGTATATACTTCTAATTCCAAAAAGATAGGAACAGACGGTATGTATGTATCTATTTGGGATCAGGAATGGATGGTAAAATCCAAAAAGAATATGTAGCTTCAACAAACTGAGTCCAACTTTAACTAAATATGAGAGTCCTTTTCAGTTTCTACAAAAGGAGATAGGCAAACTGTTGAATCGACGGCACAAGCAAATCTAACATATACCCTTATTTTCGTAAACCATTTACTCATCCCACAAGAGGCCATGTCACCTGCATTTCCTGTCCCTACGATTCAGCATCGACGGCCACAGCGAGCCTTCCATCATGTTTCTGCCTTCCTGTCCACCTTCTGGAACCATCGAGGCCGTGCCCTACAGAGACCTTATCCCTTCCGTCTTCCTCCCTCTCAAGACAGTCCTCGGCCGCGTCGCTCTCCGTACTCCCCTGTGGGTGCTCCTCGCTTCCTCGTACGGCGCCTTGTGTAAAAGTGGGTAGAACGAGATGTCGTCCCCTGGCTCTTGGTTGCATGTTATATGGGCACGGGAAAAGCCCCTGGCGGTGGCCTTGTACAAGGGGTTAGGTTTACAACAGATTACATGAGAAGATATCTATCAACAACTAGCTTGAGCTACAATCTAGGGACGCCTAGAGCTAACCGAAAGCCTAGATGAACCTAGACATAAACATGAACAGATTACATCATCTAACACCTCGGACGCCTCCTCATTGCGTGCACCTGGGCTACAGCCACGTCGCCCCTCACCCTCCTCCTCGCATGCCTACAGTAGCAGCTCCATCGACGGCGCCATGGACGACGACATCGATGATGACGCTGGCCACCAGCCGTAGTCGCCCCCGTATCGCATGGACGCCGCCGCCTATGAAGATGAGGAGGACGACGCCCGCCGCCACGCGCACGCCCGCCACGGCGGATACCGCTCCGTAAGCCTGGCCGTCTCCCTCCTCCCTGCGATTCCAATTCGTCTCGGCTGCTTTGTTCTTACCCATCGAATCTGCGGGCTACGATTTAGGTTTTCGGATTCGTGCAGGATGTAGTTTTCTTTTTGGGGAGGTATACAGCCCATGCGGATTTGTTGGAATCCTACTAAAATTTGGAGTCGCACTTGATTTTTATTTTGAGTTGTGTATGCAGGGACAGGTTGATGAATCCATGAATTTTTTTTTGCCTCAATTTGGCCCGTCCACTCCTGTCTACTACCAAAACCAAACACTAGGAGACGAAAAAAAACGAGTTCCATGTTCACAAGGTGTACCATGTGCTTCATCGCATCTACAAGAGTATATGTTGCCAGCATAGTTGGAATGTACTCACCTATGCTTCATCTTTGTACAGGATTTATCTTATCCAACCATGAATCATATGAGTCTCCACAGCAAAGGTTTATTTGTACTGATTCATCTTATTTTTATTTTTGCGCACTCATTTCCTTCCTATGTAGTAACATGTAAACATGGTAGTTTAATCCTGGCCTCAGGATGATAGCAAAATTAACGTCTTCTTAATCGTGCTGTTGCAGATTCAGCTTCCTCTTGATGCCAGTTGCAGGCTCAGATTCCTCTTGATGCCACCAAGGTACATCATTTCAATTTGAATTTGTATGTATGGTCAGATTTCAGCACTAATGTTTTCCTGTCTGATACAAACTTTGTCATTTTTATTACCCAGTGTTGTTATTCTTTGCAAGATCACATATTGGGATTCTCTATATATTGCTCCCCAATTTATGTTTCACACACCTTCATAATTTATTTCCAATTCATTGCATTCGCCTGACCGCCGTCGTCCCTAAATTTATATACGATGTTCAGTCTCATTTCGCATCAATCCGGAATTTCGACTTCCAACATATACTGTCTACACATGGTGTGCAAAGAATTTGAATGTCATACTTTTTACATATGCACGTCGAAACCATGATGTACGCCTTTTAAAACATAAGCAACTCGCCTTTCCATTCAAACATACTTTTAGGACTCAACTCATTACTTTGCTTATACTAAGCAGGTTTATCGGTTGTTATCAGCTTACAAATGTGTGCAGGTTCAAAGTGATGTTCATGGCCTCATGTAAAACACCAGGAAAGGATTAGTTGTCCTGTCGTTTGGTCAAATGGCAGCAAACATATCCAGAGGCCCACCTACAGTGTATTTGGATTCTGACTGTATTGTCAAGGCTCACAACGATGCTAAGAAAAATAACGCATTTCAGTTTCAATATCTAAGCTTCAGTAATGGCATTGCCATTTTAACCAATGCAGCCAATGCACTTATAGCATTAAAACTTGAGTCTTCATTTTTTTACCGAAATGTTCCAGGTAAATCTTTCTGTATACTTTACTATTTTGTTTCTTTGGTCACTTACCCTTTTAGTTCCCAACTGATCATATTATTTTCATTCGGTTCACACTCCCTGGACTCATTTCCCAAACAACTGCAACACTGAACCCATGTCAAATGCAACCTATTTATCTTTCTTTATACCACTGAACCCATATCAAATGCAACCTATTTATCTTTCTTTATATATTTCCTTATCCCAACAAGTGCTTATATGCCTGGACACTTCATGTGACTGTAATTTAATGCCGTAGACCCTTTATACTGCCAGTATTCAACACATACCAAATACCATTTCTTAAACATAAATATAGGTTCTATATGGGCTTAATTTGCCTACCAGGTGTTGTATTACCTTTTAAGCTTGCCACCTGGGTGCATGGAATGTTCTGCCTCTGCTGTTGTACCTCTACTCTTCTCTTTTATTCGCTTCATTTTCTTACTACAAACATGTTGTCTTTACTGATTATATTTTCTTATATTCCTCAAAATTTACCGACTTAAGCATACATATTAAATCTTATTTGTCTTTTCATACATGAAGGTTTTTGACCGAATACTAGGGATCGGACTACCAAAGAATTTCAGCGGCCTTCAATGAATGACATCAAAAGTAGAGGCAAGACTTGAAGAATATTGTTTATCCCCAGATCTTACTGTATTTTGTTAGTCTTCTTTTGTGTGCAAAATGACAGGCACAAGCTGGAGCCACATGGATGTTTTGGTGTAACATTGGCTTCATCATATAATTTATACATATGTTATGAAACCAAATCATGCAGTGCTTTCCTCTGTAAGCATGTTACCTTACTTTTCAATTGCCCTTATCAGGACCATTTCACTGTGTAGTACCCACCCTTACTCTTTGTATATTTATCCTTTACACATCAACATGAAATCACCCATTGTCAATTCTGCAATACGACCTTTTCTTTTCAACATCATGTGTTGCGCCCGCGGCAACGCGCGGGGTTCCTGCTAGTGTTTCTTATTCTTCCTCAACAGCTCAAGCAAATATATACTCATTAAGAATCTAATTATCTAGAGATTAATGTTTGCAACCTTAGTGAAAACAAAAATACAACTTTTGTCAGCTAATTTCAAAGCTGGTCAAACTTCCATTCTTTTTATCTGCTCTGCTATTTTTAAAACTGATCAAACTTTCATTCACCAAACCTTAAGTATTTCAGATAAAGGTTTTTCATTTTCTAAACAGGAAAGCAATAGAACTTAAAAGTTATATATGAACCTACAGACTGATGCAAGTTATATGTGAAACTTCTGCAAATGCCTATCAATTCATTAACAATTTGACATAAAAAATCGGCTCAAAGAATCGTGATAAAGAACAAGCTCATACAAGCTAAATCTATCCCGAGGATGTGATCTGCCATACAAATCCGGTAGACCTTGCCATATGAAAGCAAACCAAAATTGCGTCATGGTACTAACGCTTCCGGCAGATCGATCCGGCCACAGTACGAGCTTGGAACTACGGACCTGGTTCCAGTTTCCATCTTGCAAGTCACAAACTCGTGCCCTGATTCCCCTAACACTGCGCGTCAAGGTCACCGAAGTGCACGAGAGGCGGGTGGAGGGCACCGAACCTGCGGAGGAAGTCCGGATCGGAGGCGATCCGGTACCATCGCTTGCAGACGGCGGCGGCGCGGACGAGGCAGCTGGTGAAGCCGAGGCGGAACAGGATCTCACGGAGAATGTCGTCGTTGCCGAGCACCACGCCAATCAAGGCTGCGGATGCAGCCACCGCGAGTGGAGAGAGCTTCCTGTCCTTGCTCTTCGCCTCCATCGCGACAGCAGCGGCACAGATCGGCGGCTGCGGGGCAACGACGACATCCTCCGTGAGATCCGGATGCAGCCACCGCAAGCGGAGAGAGCTTCCTGTCCTTGCTCTTCGGCTCCATCGCGACGGCGGCGGCACAGATCAGCGGCTGCGGGCGCGTACGGGTGAAGCAGGCTGCTCCCTCTTCGCTTGTCGCAGCACCGCGGGGGAGTGTGCGGTTGGAGTACCATACACGCGAAGTTACAGCACGTTCGGTTGACCGGTGTTTAGGGTATACAATGGAAAATTTTCAGTTGGAATAGTATTTTTCTCTCACATAAATCAGTTAATCATATTTCTTCACAAACTAATAACAAAATGAACTAACCTGCCGAACAGACTATTAGTTTGTACGTGGTTGGTTTTCTAGATGCAGTTTTCGGGGTGCGTGGAGAGGCTATCTTAGCAGAAGAGGTTATACAAGGACATCCTCCATGAGATCCGGATGCAGCCACCGTGAGCGGAGAGAGCTTCCTGTCCTTGCTCTTCGGCTCCATCGTGACGACGGCGGCTGCGGGGCGCGTACGGGGAGGAGTCCGCTCCCTCTTTGCTTGTTGCAGCGCCGCAAGGGAGGGTGCGGGTTGGAGTACCATACACGCGAAGTTAGTTTCTATGCGGTTGTTTTTGTAGGTGCAGCTTTTAGAGTGCGTGGATGGAGGTCTCAGCGAAGAGGTTATCGTCATGTTCGGCTGGCTGGTTCGTTTCGTTGCTGATTTGTGAAGAAGTATTGCTGGTTGATTTGTGTGAGAAAAAAATACTGTTTCTGACTGAAAATTTACGATCGTTTACGACAAGCCACAGCCAAACGAATAGGCTGGGTAGTCTTTTTTTTTACCGGTTACAATTGGACATATACAACTCCACACACTTCACACTTACACCATACGTGTGCGCGTCCGTACACACGTAACCGAACGCGGTCGTGTGTATGTACCCTAAAATTTATGAAAAAATTATAGAAAAAGATGCATTGGCGTCCCACTGGACAGCCCTACCACTGAACCATAGGCCCATTCTCTTATATGGGGTAGTCTTTTGTAAAGAAAAAGTTGGTGAATTTAGTAAGGTATAAGGGCCTTGTTTAAATTGGGGTTAGGAATTAGTATTTGGCATTGTAGCACTTTCGTTTGTATTTGACAATTATTATCCAATCATGGCTAACTAGGCTCAAAAGATTCGTCTCGTAATGTACAATCAAACTATGTAATTAGTTATTTTTTATCTATATTTAATACTCCATGCATATGTCTAAAAATTTGATCTGACGGAAAGAGAGTGAAAAAATTTGCAATCTAATCAAGGGCGTAGATAGATTAGACCTGGCAGCGGCGGATCTGCAGCCCAAATATTTCATTAGCAGCTCATCTCCCTGGCCCAGACCAGCCCAAAGAAATAGGCCTTTAGCCCCACCCGACGCCGCCAGAACCTAGCCCAATTCGCTCCTGATCGCCCCCAGCCCGCCTCCAACTCTTGAGTCCTGACTTTGGAGCGAGAGCGCCGGCGGCCGGCCGCCGAGCACCGAAAAGCACAGTCACCATGGCCGAAGCCCCGCCCGCGCCGGGCGACCACGCCCCTCCGCTCCACCTTCTTCGCGCCACTCTGCTCCGCCTCCGCCCTCTGTTCTCTACTTCTGCTCCGCCGTGGCAGGCTCCTCCGTGACTGCAATGCGGGAGCGCCGCCAGATCCGCCGGTGGCCGGCCGCCGCGCCCCTGCTGCAGCCTGCTTTGCTGCCTCCTTCCTAGTGGCCTGGGCGGCTAGGTGCTTCCCAGATGCACGCCCGGTGCGGCGGTGCCTACCGCCCAGGTGCGCAGCCGGCTGGGCGTCCGGGTTGCTCAAAAGTTTCTACGAGACCGCTGCGGCCGAGACACCATCACCATGAGCAGCATGGTGTAATTGGTTTGTTTATCCGTATTCTAAGCCATTCGATTGTTCGTAGCCTACTGACGCTCATGTGCTTGCTCTTGTTTGAATCCGTCGCCAGGTTCGCTGGAGCACTGTCTAACTGAAAACTGATGTTCTGCGTCTGCCCCAATGCTGTGTTACCATCACCAAGAGCCGATCAAACCAAGCCATACCCGCCTTAAGATGATGCTGGTTTGTTGCTCGATCTGCCAAGAGCTCATGACAGTGTGCTAGGGGAAATTGCTAAGTTAATGTATTCGCACCATTATTGAACATATCAGCCCTACTTGGATTGGATGATTTACAACATATCCAGGAGTAGCTAAAAATAACCTGAGCTTACTTGTTGAAGAATATTGATAATGCTGTATTGAACACAATATAATTTGAAGTTCTCGGAGAAAATATTGAATACAATACAATTCTCTGTACAATGCTATTGCTAGTTACATATATGCTTTTGGTCATGCATGCTCTTTATTAGTCATTTTTCTATCTAAAATGTTGTACATATTGCTTGGGCATTTTAAGTTGATTTCATCGTTTGTGTTCTTCGTTATATATATTATATCTAGTGTACCTCTAGTAAGATTTATATCCTCCTATTATTTAGCGCCCCTGTTATGGTAGGTCAAGTGTATCAGAGGCGCAAGCGTGCACGTGGCTAGGTGCAACGCGCGCATGCGCCGGCGCGTGGTGACCGCGCCCAGGTTCAGTCCAGATTCGGAGTCCTAGTTTCTAGGATCTTGATTTGATTCAGTTCAAGTTGTTAGGCAGGGAGTAATTTTAGGAACTTTCAGTTGTAAGATTTGGCCATATAAGCCAATCAATTAGTCAATAATAAAACAGTCAGAGATTGAGAAGTCTCTCTCGGCCCTTGAACCCCAAACCTCTCTCTCTCTCTCGTCTCTGTTTGCACGGCCGTCAGACGGCGGCGCGTCGAACGCGGCACCACCGCCGAGACTCGTCCCCAAACCTCCCACGTCCCATAGCTACAACCTCCGGAGCATCACTAACGATCCTAACAACTCGGTATCAAGGTCGGGGCGATGTCCGGAGTTCACACCACCACCGTTCAGCCCACCTCCGCCGCTTTCCCCAACCACCACCGCCGCGCAACCAATACCACCACCGTGACCACCACCACCGTTTCGCCCCGCCACCACCCTCATCTCCGATGGACACCTCGCCGCGCTGCGCCATTTACGGTCTGCGGCAATGACAGATGGGCTGATTCGCCACAAAGGTCATCGGCCATGGAGGGGTCGCCTTCACCACCATCACCGGCGGGTCCATCGTCCCTCGTCCTCGCCGTCCACCGCTTCTCCCGTATGGGGCCGCCGGGTGCGGCGGCGTTCCACCACCGCCTACCACGGACTCAAAATCGTGATCCATACCGCATGCCGCGAGAACAATCCGCCACCCCACCGATCTTTGCCAATCCACCAGATTCCGTTCCCACACTCGCCGTCCCCATTGCCGTCGTTCGACATGTCCCTGCCTCAGCAGCAACCGGCGCCGTACGAGGGACACGCGGACGCGTTGGGCGTTCCGCGCTTCTAGAAGCTGAACTTCCCCACGTTCGACGGCGTCGACGACCCTCTACCGGGTGAACAAATGTGACCACTTCTTGAGGGCAGCCGCACGCGCGAGGGCGACAAAGTATGGTCAAGCGTCCTTTCACATGAATGGTGTTGTCAAAGGCGGTGGTACTACATGCTCGAGCGCGACTACGGCGACGTCGCCGCCATCTCTCACGCCACCGCTTCAAGGCGCTATGTTACGGCCGCTTGGACCACCCTCGCCACCAACCATCTCTCCGATTTGGCGCGGCTACCGTTCGACGGATCCGTTCAGCGGTACCAGGAGGCGTTCCTGGCTCGGCTGGCTCACGCCGAGCCCCTCACCCCGATGCAGCAGGTGCGGCTCTTCACCGGGGGCCTACCCGAACCCATCCGCACCGATGTGGAGCTGCAGGGGCCTACTGATCTCCAGCGGGCCATGGGATTGGCCCGTGCATACGAGCGCCGCGCGGCCGCCCTGGTGCCCGTGGCGCCCAGCCGACCACCACGCCCACCGCCGCGACAGCAGCCGCTGGCCCTGCTAGCGCCGACGTCGACACATCTGCAGCTGCCAGCGTCGGCCGTGAACCCGACTCCTCCACCTCGACCGTTCAAATGGCTGTCGCCAACGGAGATGGCGGACCGCCGGAGCAAGGGCCTGTGCTACAACTGCGACGAGCCGTACGTCCGCGGCCACCGATGCCAGCGCCTCTTCTACTTGGAGGTCACCGACTTCCATGACTCGGAGCCCCCCCTGCCGGACGAGGAGATCCCCTGACACCCGGCGGCAGACGAGCCGCCACCATCATCTCGGCCGAAGCGATCACCGGCATTCGGACGGAGGACACGATGCAAGTCCACATCGCCATCGGCAACTATGAGCTCACTGCCCTCATCGACTCCGGGTCAACTCATAACTTCATCAGCTCCGCAGCAGCTCACCACGTCGGCCTCCACTTCCACGACAGCAAGGGTGCTCACGTGGTGGTTGCCAACGGCGACCGCGTGGCGTGCCGTGGCCTGGCTCGCGACGTAGCCATCCGCATCGGCGAAGAACACTTCACTGTCGACTGCTACACCATCCCACTCGACTGCTACGATATGGTCCTAGGTGTCAAGTACTTACGCACCCTAGGCCCTATCTTGTGGGACTTCGACGACCTACGCATGGCGTTCTGGCACAACGGCAAGCGCGTCCTCTGGAAGGGGATCGGCTCCATGCGCACGGACACTCCACCAATGGGGCGGCTGCATGCGGTTCGCGATGCCGAGACGACATTGTTGGACCGGTCACTTGCCGACTCCTTCAAAGAACATCTTGAGTCCCAAATTGCCACGCCACCCGCACGCCCCTGTGATCATCGCATTCATCTGCTGCCGAACACCGCGCCGGTTGCAGTCCGCCCCTACCGCTATCCGCACCTCCAGAAGGACGAGTTGGAGGCGTAGTGCACGACCATGCTTGAGCAGGGCATAATTCGCCCGAGCACCTCTCCGTTCTCC